TGCTGAACCACTGTCCCATGTTCCTCAGAATCTCAACAAAACAGCAGGGAGAGAGGTTTTCACTGGGTTCGAAGAAAGCAGCCCAAAGAACCCTGTTCTGGTCATTTCAGGTGCAGTGTTTCCTTGGCTGGCGTCTTGCCCCTGAGATGCTCCGGCATCCTGGTGACGACAGTGCTCTCGAGTCTGGGGCTGCCCATGGGAGCCAAGAGACCAGCCGCCTGCCCGCTCCCTGACCAGCAGATGGGAGGCAGGGAGGGCCGCCAAGCCACTGACAGCACAGGCTTGAGGAGATGCCTCCTCTTAAGCTGGACACCCCAACACACAGCCCCATGATGCTGGGCCTGGGTGGCCAAACTGAGGTCATGTGTCCAAACACCGGCCATGCTGTTGCAGGGTCTGCTCCTGGACCTGCAGGCTGGGGCCACAGAGGCAGCAAGCACCGCACACAGGGGCTGTGTCTCCTTTCATGTTTCTAGACCATCAGTGACCTCCTCCACACAGAGCGAGGAGAAGGAGAAGGGAAAAGGCCATCGGGAGGCCAGGAGACACTAGGGAGCCACAGAAACCCTTGGCTGGGATTCCCCAGCAGCCATCGGCCGGGAACAAAGAGGTTTCTAGAAAACAGAGGCCACTTCCCTGCCCTGCGTGAGCACACGAGTGGGGCAAAGACGCGCCAGTCGGCCATGTGTCACTCCGGCAACTGCAGGTGACACATGAGAAAGTGAAAGTGTCCTCGCTTGTGCCTGGAAACAATACGCATTCTGCTCACCCTTCCCCCAAGCCACCGGTTTTTCCCTGGTCTTATCTGATGTCCCCACATGCCACTGCTCTCAAGAGCATCCACACACAGAGACAGACGTGCGCACGTGCACGCGCGCACACACACACACTCTCAGCTGTGCACATACATGGAATACTTTTGTTGGACTCATGCCAAGGAAACAGAGACAGAGGCTGACTGATTTATCAAATCGGGGATTACTTCTATATCCACTAATCGTATGCACAAATCTCCTCTGGCAGTAGACACTTGGGGAGGAAAAAAAAAAAACCCATAAAGACATGGCAGAGTACATATCTGAAGCCAAAAACTCAAGCTGGATCTCAAACCCAAACAAACCATTCCTCCTTCGTCCGGCGAAGCAGAAATGATTCCTCTCTTCCTTTGGCTTCTTGCGTGAGATTCAGAGAGCTGCCAGAGGGACGGCCAAAGGTGCCTGCAGCTGCCCCCCCGCCCAGGGGTCCCCAAGAGAGAAGGGAAACCACAGCACCTTGTGGCTAAACCTTGGGGTTTCACTATTCTTCATCCCTGCCCCCTCTTTTTTTAAACTCACAACACATCTCAAGTGCTTTCACGGCCCTATAATCACCTGCCTCTGCTTCAGTTCCCCTCTGACTCTCAGTTTCCTCTTCTCTGCAGACCTTTTTAACCCTCCCACTTCTCATACCTTCCTCCCTGGAGCTCTGCCTTTTCGTCTTCCTCCCCAACAGCACAGGGATTTTCACAAGATTTTCCAAAAAGTACTTGTGTGTAAGGGGATACACAGAGGTTAGAGGGGTAAAGAAGCAATCGTCTGAAGCCCCTGGACAGAGGCTGCATTCTCAGCTTCCAATTCCAGCCTTGCTCCCTGACTGAGCTGCTAACCTCTCTGATCGATGTAACCCACTGCCTCAAGAGGGCAGGACAGCAGTCCTGGCCCGCGGTACGGACACCACAACGCAGGCTCAGAAAATAAAAGAAACCAATGGAAGACACTTTGCCGCTGCTCCCATACCTCCTGCAAGCTTTCATCTACTCAGAGGCGCTCCTACATGTTAACCTCAAAAAGATGCCACATCACTTGTGCTCTTTCCC